CCAAACCTGCATTGATCTAACTGAACTGTCTTCGTCAGTGCTAGTAGTGGCTCAAGTTCAGGTTGTTTCCATATATCGGATGTTCCTGGGTTCTCGGCTGTGAAATGTCTTTGTTGTTGTACCTGAATCTTGCAGATGAGTGTGCACAGTTCCAAATGCTGTTTGGACAACTCACGATTCCTTTGAATCTTCTCGAACAAGGAAGTGCTTCTTCCGGCATTGAAACGATTCCATGCGCGCCATGGAAAGCATTCTGGAGCTACCCAGATGTGTTTCGGACGCAACCTAAAGATCATTCTGATCAGCTGCAACTGGCCTTGAAAGGTTGCAAGGTCTCCATGCTCCTTGGTGAACCGTTCTGATCTACCCCCTTGTTTGCGAACCTCTTCTGCTAAACGGCTGTTTGGTTGTGCATACACCTCAAGCAAATCAATGGGCTTCCCAAATGCTTTTCCTATTTCTGCTGACTTCGCTGCTTGAATGAGCTTGGCTTCGAAGGCTGTTTCAACGATTATTTGACTATCTGATATCAGGGTTTCCCAACTCCCTTCCTTACCTAGATCAACCCCTGGCTCTGGTACAGCTGCTGCTCCATCTGTTGCCGTGTTTGGCAGTAACGAGCGAAATCGCCGATCTGAGCGTCCAGTGAATTGATGCGGCTTAAACACCAACTCACATACTGGCTGTCTTGTTCGTAGACTGCCTGGTATGTTTTCCCAGGGTGTTTCTTTCCCCAGGTCACACGCTTCATGCCCCACTGCTCCATTGCCATGGTTGTCCAGGCGAGGCTCTGGTTGAGCTGACTGCCCATTGGCTCGGCTCCACTTGATGGGCTCCCATGTGGTGGCGTCTCTGGGGCGGTCCTCTCCAGCATGGTCGCCGTTCCAACCACACGACCTTTTGTCTGAGGGGCAAGGAAGTGTCCTTTCCCGGCTGCCGTCGATCGTCCTCGAGTTGGTGGAGATGTCATTGGTGTCGTTGACACGCCGTGAGTCACTGGTGATGCCTTTGCTGCTTGGGGTTGTTGATAGACTCGGACCTCCTGGTCCCACACTTCCAGATCGCTCTCTGTCAGCAGGGTGAATGCCTCGTCCCGGCGACTTGGCGACAGTGCTTGATTCTTCATCAGGTCGGCCAGCTCCTCGATTTTCTCCTTCTGAGACTGAACTTCGTTCATGAGCTGGTTCATCATGGTGGCTTGTTCCATTGGAACTTCCTGACTCGAGACCTGAGTGGCCACTTGATTCAAAAGAATCATGAGCAGAGTCTGGAGTGAATGCACCACATTCTCGGCCATGTTCTTCACCATTTGCAGCATTTCACCACGTGTCGGCATCTTGCTCGAAGATCTGTGAACTTGCTTTCGAATCACTGCTTGCGCCCAAAATGCTTTGGCACTCGCTTGATTGGCAAAGGTCCTGAATCCTAATCATCAACTTGCCTTCGAACAAGTGAACTGCTTTGTTGAGGCTCTTCAAAAAACATGAATTGCTCTGCAGGTCAATCACTGTTCCTAAGCGTTTCATCGTCTGTATCGAAAGCAAAAACGGCGTTCCGCGTGGCACCACTTCGACGATCAACCACATCCGAATCTTACCCTGATCTATGGGGATATGGACTTGCTTGTAGCTATATTCTATTTGGTTATTACCGAAACGAAAGGCGATTCTGCTGGCTTTCTCTTTTACACGGCTCCGGACTGGCTCAGGGAGTTGACGATGGCTTCAGAAAAATTTACCTCGGCCGAAAGCTCTTGCATTGGAGGCTGGTTGATCGAACATGCAATGAACTCTTTCGGATTGGTTTTGGTTTTGTCCGCTTCGTTTCGACGAAACCCAACCTCTGGATCGGAGGCAATTGCTTCAAAAAGAACTTGGTCTGAAAGATCTGGATCAAGGGCTTCCTGGGCTGAGGCCACATTGGCCTGTGATTCCTTGGCTTGACTCTTCAGCGGACACTCTGCTTTCCAATGTCCAAGTTCTCCACATCGTTTGCAGTGGGTCCTTGCAATGCGAGCCAACAATTCGTCTTTGCCCTTTGATTGGCCTTTTCGAAAGCCTTTCGAACCAGTTGCACTGAAGCCTTTGCCTGATTTTCCACCCGGGGTGTTCCTCACTGGCCAGAATCCGCGGTTTCTCTTTCGATCTGTGATCCGGCCTCTTGCTTCCTGGTAACTCAGCAATGCCGAGTGCAAATCCGGCACCTCTTGGAAGAGATCTGTGAGCTCTCTTTCGCAGGCTTGGACTGTCATTGCATCAGCGTCTCCAGCTAAAACCATCTGTTCCAGGGTTTCCTGACTAAGATCTTCTTCTTCCGCTTGCATTGCCAGGGCACTTTGGTCAGCAAAATGCTGTTCGTTCTCAATGTCCTGACCGTCATCGACATAGTTGGTCGGGTAGACCTTTTTCTTCTCCATTCCCGATCCTGACAGCACTGACGTGGAGAGGCTTCTCATTGCATTGGCAATCGAATCCTTGTCAAAATTTCCTCCAGTCATTGTCAAAATCTTCTTCTTGTCCTCGTGGTTCAAGCTGCTCTGTTTCAACAGTACAAATGCCACCACTGTCTTCAATGTTGTATCGGCGCCAACCTCTTCAAATGCAACATCCAACCGATTCACAAATGACTGGGTCGACTCGTCGCTCTTCTGGATGGTCTTGTACAATGCTTTCTCAAACAACTCGAACGTGCGGAGCTCCGCACTTTCTTCCCAGGCGGACAGCGCCTTCAACAGGTGTTTCACCCCATGATCGGCACTCGTGAGATCTTCCGGTTTGATCTGTCTCACTTGATGCCACGCCGTCCCCTTGCATAGCATAGCGAGTCTTGGTGCCAGCATGGGCTTGTCCTTCTTCGGGCATATGCCCTCAAGGATCTCACCTTGGCGATGTACTCCTTCACATCATCAACGCTGGGGTCAAAAGACGGCAGCAGAGTCCAAATCGCATTCGACGATTTATCGTCGCTTCCCGATGCCATGGCTTCCTAGTGTCCTCACCAGGCCCTTTTGGGCTCCGCTACCAATGTGGCTGCGACCGCAACCACACTGGTAGCTTCCTTGCCCACCTTCTCCTTTGGGGTCTTCCCTCAAACCTATCACCACAGGTCGGTCCTCCAACCCACTTCCCTCGCACCTTTTTGGTGCTGCCTTGTCCGGTCCGGTGTCCATGCCTTGAGCCAAACCACAGTGGGTCTGGGTGCTTGTCATCATTCGAAGGTGCTGCTTCCGAGGTCCGAGGTCGATGCTTTCATTCAAATCACACATACACGCATTACATTACATTACATTACATGACATGACAATACAATACAATACAATACATTACATGAAAAAACATACGCTACATACATTACATTACACAACATTACATGACATTACATTGCACTAAACGCATGAACACATGCTTACAAACACGACACGCATACAAACACCAAACATACATTCAAAAAACGTAGATACATAACAAACATACATACTTACATGCATACACGCATAACCTTGCGCTACTCTACATAACATTACGCTACTTTACAATACACCACTTTACAAACATTTACATACAAAATGACACACATGCAAATCATTCATACATACTTACATGAAAACTTGCAATACATTAATTACATTGCGTTACGTTACATTGCAGTACAGTCCAACAGGCATACAATACACTACATTGCATTACATTACATAATATTACATACATTAGATGCATTCCTTGCGACAAATGTTGTTATGATGAGCACGTTGGTGAAAAGACTATTGAGGAAAAGCGTCCAGATCAGCGAAGGCCCCCTACAGAGCAGCAGAAGTACGTCTGCAATGCCACTGCGCCACGCTGCTTGGCGAGGTTTGAATGGAACGTGCGTTCGCGTGGAAAAACATGCGTGCGTAAACGAAGCGCGTCGCTGCTCGTAAACGAAGCGCGTCGCTGCTGAGCGAGATGATTGGCAATGTGGTAATGAATGAGGCTTGGTGTCACATGGTTGCACCTAGTATAGGGCACGGTGTTCGTTGCAAGTTGAGACGCAGCTGACGCCTGTAACGTCAAACCTCAGACCTCAGCGAGCAGGAGAGCACGCCTGCGTCGGAGGCAGGGCCAGGAAAGGAGATTGTGCGATTTTGGACGCGCTGTGATGCAAATGTTTGACCTTTTTCTTTTTTTCCGCCTTCGCTTCTGTCAACAGCACGCCTCAATGATGTCAGAACTGAAGGCGTGGGATATCAAAGTGTGATGCTGCTTTGTGAAGGTGAAGCGCGCTTTGAAAAGAAACTATTTGCATTTATATACGCGCGCACACTTTCGGGCCCACGTCACCATTGAAACTGGCGTTCACACTGTGAAGGGGCACTTAGAAAAATTCTGCGCGCGTTGAAGTTTGCATCATTTGCCCGCTTTTGCGCCTATAGTGAGGGCCTTAGCATGTCTTAACTGAGGATTGTCGAGGGTGTCGTCACATAAACTTACTGCATGGTGTTTACTAGTGAACCCAGTTCTACTACCTGAAAAAGATTACTCAACGGTCATTTCAAGAGGTTTATAGGTTTTTTAAAACGTCGAACACGCTTGGCGCAAAACCCGCATCGCAAGCAATATGCGCCTTGGAAATACGTGTCCCCAGCCTGTTAATTGAAGGTTGAATGGGAAAACACCTGCATTTCCTGTGTTACCTTCTTTCGTATTGTTTCGGGGTCAACAATCTTTGCGTTGAATCTTTTGAACACTTCACTGATGTGACTCTCCATGACGTTCGCAAAAGAGAGCCCCCGTCAGCCAATATATTTTACGTCCAATTTTGCATACAGAACCAGACCAGCTGGAAAACAACGCAAACACCACAGGCACAAAGAAACACAAGGGTGACAAACCAAACGTTTTGGCAAGACCAAGATCTGTTGATTGAGTCTAGGCTATCGTGAAGACAATACGACAATGGGGAACGTGGAAACAAACTTGACGCACCATGCCAAAATGGCGCCACCAAACCGAGGCCATGACGTCTTGAACCCGCTGATCCCTTTCCTGGAAGGCCTTCAATGTGGCAAACTGTCCACTGATAGAAGTAATTTGAATAAACATATACAAACGCATACTGAGCAAATTCCCGACGGCGAGAACAAATAAGCTTCAGGAAAACATGCCTGCCTGCGCGACGCCCTCCGCTCTGGCTGCCAACATCCGCTTTAACTCATCTATCTCTCGATGAGCCTTCCCCAGCGCGTGGACACATGACAAAGTGTGGTTTCCAGACCAAGACGGCTTGCAAAGTTCTGTATCTGTTTGAGCTTAATACTCCACCCAACAAAAGGGCGCTGCGGCAGATTGCGCAATGGAAGACACATCGCGCGCGACAAAACCAAGTACCTTAAACTTTGCAGCGCTGCTGTTTAGCAACGTTGGACTCAAGGTGAGCGTGGGGTTAAAAGGCTCGCTGCACCTCTCGCCGTTTCTTTATCCCAGAAGGAATCCAAGCACGTAGCGCGCTGCTATCCGCTCGGGAACAGAGTGGAATGATTCTGTAGGAGTGACTCCTTGTTCTACTACTCCAGACAGATACTGGCGGAGAGGTTTGCAAGGAGGCTCGCGGCTCGCTGCCTGGAAGGCGGGTCCTGCCTTGGTTCCCCCTTTTACCTCTTTGATGGTCTTGTTCAGGGGCAAGAGCCCACACATGACATGACTCTTCCCGGCACAATTGAAACCAGGTGCCTGCCTCACCACTGACCTGGCCATTGGTCACGGTAAACGGTGATGGTCTGGAGGGCAAAGCAATGCTGGCTGGATTGTCAACTCCGAGCTGCGGCTTGTTCGTGGGTTTGCAAAGCGCTGGAAAGCGAAGGTCCAGGGCAGGAGGTGTGGTAGTAAGGACGCCAAGCCCTTGCCCTCTGCAAGGAAGGGCAGGGTATCACTGACAGGCCCTGTCGTTCAGGTCCAATGTCACCAATCGCAATTTGATCAGCTGCCGCTTTTGGAGTGGCAAAGGTGTTGGGGCTCAGCTGCAGGATCCACCACCAAGTTCAGCTGGAGAGGATCTCCTTTCTGCATCTGGTCGGGTTGGACGCGGAACTTGCTGTTGGCCCTGGAGCGAATCATAGCCTGATGTTCATCACTCTTAACCAGTATCATATTCATATGCATTGGGCCGACTTGCCAAGGACTTGACGGAAACCCATTGGGTTGTTCGTGCACGGTGGCTCCCAACGTTAACTTGGTGATGGTCATCGGTCATCGATGCTCGTTCCTCAGCTCGATCAACGCATCGGCCGTGGACTTCATGAACTTGGTCTTTCGTGGCAGGCAGCTATGATCGCGCGCGCCAAAATTGAATTTGGCCTGTGCCTGATCCTGCACAAAGTTTAAAAGTCATCGCATTCAAAGCCTCTGCAGTCATGTCCTCGCACTACCTGTGCATGGATGGTTTTGGATGATGAGCACTGGCACTTGATGCTGTGCCACCTTCAAAGATCGCAGTTCTTGCCTACCTCTATGATGGCCTGTCCTTTGACCGGATTGCTGGGCCAAGGATTATAAAACAACAGCTGCCCGACTCTTCTAGCGCAATCATGCTTGGACATCTGGCGCGTGCGCTTGGCTTCTGTCGCGCACCTTTGCTTGAACATGTTGAGGAGTTGCGCGCGGGGCTAGCCTTCTTGCAGGCATTGGCTGCAGATCGACAGCGAGGCTTTGGGTGGAAAAGGGTCTGCCAGTAAGGAAAGCAGAGTGGGCTTTGGCTCCAAGTCATCCACCACCAGCTTGATATACTCCAAGGAGTGGTCCTGCAGAATTCCAACCATGAAAGATCCTGCCTCCACTAGGGACACCCAGTAGTCATTGTCAATCTCAAGGGCAACAGCTACAATGACAAGCCCGCAAGGCTTATTCGAAGAACGACTGCGAAGTTCTTTGACCAAAACATAAGGCCCATTGAAGCCCATCTTGTAGAAGACGATCAGCGCTCAGCTGCTTGCGGCAACCGCAAGAACAGTCCTGAAGCAAGTTGGCATAGCTGTGGAGAGCCACTGGACAGGGCAAGGACATAAACCCAAGACCGAACATCGCTGCCATACGACTGGTCAAAGTACAGCTGGAGGTCAACATCAGTTCAGCTTCATCCTCATCACTCCACAATGGCCAATCCCTGATCAACTGGCGAGGCCCAGGTCGCTGAGGTGCAGGACGCAATGCTCGGAAACAAGGATCAGGGCATTTGGAAGTAGAAGGCCTTAGAAGGCAACAGAGAACAACAGGGCACTGCCCAGGGCGTGGGACACACTCTCAAATCATTGCCAACGGGCAAGTGAGAAGGACAGTCCGCAACGTTCCCCAGTAGGCCGCGATCACCTTGTGGTGAGAAAGGGTGGCGCGGAAAACCTGCCGTCAGAACTGCAGGTTCACTGCCTCCTCCGATGTGGAGCCCGTAGACGACGTCGTCCTGGAAGACGCTGCCCGGAATGACTTCTCCATGGAGCACACTGCAACTGGCGACAAGCCAGCAGCGGGGAATCAACCGAGGCGCAGATCACCGCCCCCATGACATGCATCCACAACCGGGGCCACCCATGCCGCACACTTCTTTGGTCCTAAGCCACCTTCCCTCACCAGGAGTCTGATGCGGAACAACCTTGGTCTCAGTATCACAACGAAGAATCAGAGGCGCCAAGCGTGTCACCTTAGTGAAGAAAAGAGCGCACAAGCCACCTTGGACCGTGGCATTCAAGTCATGGTCAACCAACCATGCCATCATGGTTGCGGAACCTTCGCGACGCTCGACGCGCGCAACCCCACTCCACCTGCTCCCCACTCAAAAAATGTTGGGAGAAGTTTCATCCAGGGCGGTCAACCCCTCAAGTCTTCAGCAGTCCCAGTTTCACCAGTTGGAAGGCACTTGAGCGAGAAACTTATAGCTGGAGTCAAAATGTCCTGGTGGGACATTTTGGTGACGCATTGACAGCGCAAGCCTTGCAATTGCAAGCTAAGCGCAAATCACCGGGTACTACCGATGCTCCATGGCTTGCTTTGGGGGATCGGGGGGATCACGAAGCTCACTGGAAGCAAGGGCGCAAACAATCTTCCATGTGGTTTGGCAAATCCAAACTTGAACTTTAGCGTCAAATCAATGAGTGGCCGGAACGCGAGTGCCTTGGCATCGCTCTCTTCCCTGGCTGCCAGCACGCGCTTTAGCTCGTCCACCTCTCGATGGGCCTGCCCCGCCAGCTTAAAAGCCCAAATGACCAAGAAGGCCAAATGAATTTCTCTAAAGCAACAACCAGCGGACGATAAAGCCAAGTTGTCGCGTTGCTGCTGGTGGGAAGTGGACAAAATAGAAATTGTGCAATGATGGCGCAGCCCGACTTGGGCCACCACCGCTTCCACCTGCTGATCCACCTTCAATGCGGTGCAAAGCACTCCCCGTTGTAAAAATCAAACCAACCCACACCCATGACGTACATTACAGTGGTTCACTGAAGACAACACGATCCCTCGCTCTGCTGACAGAACCACGGACTCAAGTCAACCAAATTCACTGGTGGGAAACGCGCAAGGGGCCGCCTCTACCACACACATGTTGAGAAAAGACTACGCGGGTAGTAGCTGATGCTCCCAGGCTCATTTGGGACTGGAGTTGGCCCTCTGCAAACAAGAGCCCGAAAACCATGGACAATGTGGTGCGCTAGATACAACCATACTTGAACTTCACAGGCAATTAGATAGCAGCGCAGCTGCAACGTGACACAACGCGATTGGCTTTGCCTGGCCCTTTGTCCTGAGCTCGTCCATCGCTTGAGCAGCCTGCCACGCTAGCTTGGAAAGCACAGTCACCTTTCAATCAAGAAACACGCGCTCTAACAACCAGAAAGGCCGAAGGCAAATTCCCTATGATAAACCAGGTTATGTTTGTTGCTGTGCAGCTTTGCTGCTTCAGGGAGCAAGGACACTGCGACAATCAAAGCCGGAAAGTATGGACCATGGAGAATACACGCGCCCGAAACCAAAAACAAAGGAACACTGTCCTGCAGCCAAACGATACACCCTACGGAGGAAAGCGGCGCAGCCGGACTTGGGCCATGACTGCTTCCCCGACTGCTTCCAGCTGCTGGTCCTTTTCGCGCAAGGCCTGCAACGCGGCGAAAACCAACTCGGGATGAATTGTCTGACACACCCCCGGTGCCTAACAAACAGACAACCATCCTCTCTGCTTCTTGACAACTTGACAACAAAACCAACTCGTGTCAGCCACACTGGTGGGACTACATGACTCAAGGTTAAGAACATGCGCCGGGCACTGCCTGATTCATTAGCTCCATCTCCTGGCGGGCCTGCCCCGCCAGATCGACGCAGGGTGGAAGACACATCAAACGTGTTAATTTCATATACGAGCGACGTGCAAAACCTCTGATGTGTTGTAGTGTGCACCCGTTCCAACGTTATCGTTTTGCTGTGAACCTTATATATCGTTCCTGAGGGCTTGGGCACACCTAACAACATGTACTAAAAACTAAAACCTTATCGCTTTTGTGAACCTTATCGTTCCTGAAGGTTTCCCTCACTTTACTTACTTAGACTTAGCCTTCTCTGTAGTGACGCTGCTTTCATCGGAGGTTTTGGCAGTTGCTCTCTGCTGCTTGAAGGAGCAGGAAAAGGAAACTTGTTGGAAATGGAAAGAAAGAATGTGGTGCAGTGGAGAGCAACGTATGCACCCATACACCCTGCCCCAAACCGAGCAAGCCACAAGAGCAAACATATCGATTGCATACCGAAGCCTAAGGGGGCCACCAAAATCATGCAAACATAGACTATATGCGAACATTGAACACCCTTCAAACAAATGGCAACAAAGAACGGCCTGTGCCATGCTGGCCGCACTCTGCTTCTCCTGCATGCTGGGCGACGGGAATCAGAGAACGACACCCCGGCACGCGCAACTTTTGCCGTTGTCTTACAACATGATGTCAAAGCTGCATCATCAACGGCAGTTCTCAGTCAAGAGGCCAGCTCAGCTAATGGATTGCTCTCCGAGCCCCACATGTTTGCTTTTGTTTGCTGGTGAAAGCAGTGCAATGTAGTTGCTTGTGTTCTGCTTCCACCTTTCTTGTCCTAGCACGGCCCTTAGAAAAATCTTTCCACCAAAAACTTTCGGCCCAAAACACCGGGGAGGACCTATTGAAAAGACTCCGGTGTTGTTTTGTTAATGGGGGTCCCCACAAGGTAAATCCTATCTGACTTCACACGCGCGTGACACATCTAGGCTATTTATCAATTCTTTCTTGGCTGGGTGCCTGGCCGGACGGCCTTGCGAAACGTGACCCTCTGCGAAGATTGTTCAGATGTGAGGTGAAATGCGAATTCCGGTGAGCCGGATGAACACTTCGCGGAGATTGCGTGCGTCGAACGCTCAAATGCGAGGTGAACCCTTTGCATGTCGAGCCTCAAACGTGAGGTGAAATGCGAATTTGGGGTGAGCACGGTGAACCCTTTGTGGAGATCGCGCGTCAGATGCTCAAACGCAAGGTCAGCAAGTCTCAAAAAGTTGTTCTTGACATAAATTTAATATGATATACAGCTCGCCGAAATATATACTATGAAATACTGGTATGCTATGGTATGCTTGTCTTTCCTTGCTACCGGGCCATTCGTCGTCTAGGGAAACTTGGGGGGAGGGTAGTGCCTTTACATAGGTACTTGGGATTGATTGTCACCGGTTTGATATCTCTACGCCTTGATGCGCAGGGAAAAGGGAAGAACGTTGAATGGAATGGAGCAGGGTCATGGCAGCATCAAGACACATTTATATACCCAATATATTGTACAAAACAACGCTGAGGTGACGCTCGCCACTATAAACATTTACCTTGACCGATCAACCTGCCGCTGTGAAACATAGGGTAAGGTGTGGAATCAAGCTGATGTTCGGCAAACTGGGAAAACAGCTAACTGCCTGGGCAAACAAGGCTTCCTGCAAAGCCGCCACCTGGCCATGAAGACTTTACTAGCCGCTAGCCAAAATGAAGGTGTTTTCCTGCTGGCCTGTGCGTCTCTGCGTGCAACTTCTGCGCGGGCAAGTTCTTGGAGTGACCTTCGCTTGCGTCATGATTGAATGGGCATCATCAATAATCATCGTCATCAGCATCATCAACCTTGTTTACCTTGTCTGTCACTTCATGTGTGCACCGTTGCTTTGGTCTGTTGTGACTTGAAACTATGCAACTCCTCTCCAGGCAACGGACGCAGCGTACTGCTGTGCCTCGCAAAGCCATCTTTTATGAAATCACGACAAACGCTACGCCCGTCTCAACGTTCCTAAAGCCCCTTCCACAGCTGTCATAAATGCTCGTGGGAGAATTCTGAGCTCTGCGCTTCAATCTGCATTTGGTGCTTCAGCTGCTCTTGAGATTCTTCCTGACTGAGCCCGGCATGGGTGCGCGCAACTGTTAGCAAGTGCGAACCCATGTCATTTACGGCATCGCTCTTCACTCTCATCAACCCAGAAACCATGTACCCCGTGCGTCCATTTATCTGAAATGCGCAAGCCCATGCACGTACAGTACACGTCAGCAGGGGCTCTAACTGTTCCAGTTTAAACTCAAGTTCGAGGTTGTTAGTGTTCATCTCGCTTCGCGCGCTACATTTGCGCCAAATAAATACGCAAATTCCCCCAAGAACCAATTCAATCGAACAGGAGTTGACACACGATCGCTTGCACCTCTGCATGCTTCTCCTGCAAGGCCTTCAACACGGCAAAAAATGTTACATATAATATATATATATATATACTGTACTATATATACTTATGATTACGACTTATGTAGTTACTTATGTATTGTTCTATACGAGGAGCAAAGTCAGCAAGCCAAGATCGATTCAATCCACACCAATGAGACGCAGAAAACGATTCAGCAAACACACAATCCCTCGTTCTGCTTTGGGGCTGGAGGAGTCCCTCTAACACGAACTCCAACAATCTACGCAGCCACCTGACAGCGACTGCCTTGGTTAGCTCGTCCACTTCCTATTTACAAGAAGGTCTCTGCCATGTGGTTGGCAAATCCGAACGTTACCGTCAAATCAATGAGCGGCCAGAACGCAAGTGCCTTGGCATCGCTCTCTTCCCTGGCTGCCAGCACGCGCTTTAGCTCGTCCACCTCTCGATCGGCCTGCCCCGCCAGCTTAAAAGACCAAATGACCAAGAAGGCCAAATGAATTTCTCTAAAGCAACAACCAGCGGACGATAAAGCCAAGTTGTCGTGGGCGTCGCTCTTGTTGCAGCTTGTGGGAAGTGGAAATTGAACAATGATGGCACTCCCCGTTGCAAAATCAAATCAACCCACACCCATGACGTTTATTACAGAGATTCAATGAAGACAACACGATCCCTCGCTCTGCTGACAGAACAACGGAGTCAAGTCAACCAAATTCACTGGTGGGAAATGCACAAGGGGCTGCCGGGTAGTAGCTGACGTTCTCAGGCTCAATTGGGACTGAAGTTGGCCCTCTGCAAACACGAACCTTAAACATTTACAATGCGGTTCGCTACAACCATACTTGCACTTCGAAGGCAAACAAATAGCAGCAAAGCTGCAACGTGACACAACGCGACTGGCTTTGCCTGGCCCTTTGTCCTGAGCTCGTCCATCGCTTGAGCAGCCTGCCACGCTAGCTTGGAAAGCACAGTCAATTTTCAATCAAGAAACACGCGCTGCAACAACCAGAAAGGCCGAAGGCAAATTCCCTATGATAAACCAGGTTCTGTTTGTTGCTGCAGCTGTGCTGCTTCAGGGAGCAAGGACAATGCGACAATCAAAGCCGGAAAGTATCGAAACATGAACCAAAGTGGAGAATACACGTGCCCGATACCAAAAACAAATGAACACTGTCCTGCAACCAAACGAAAGAAAGTAGATTGACAAATGACCAAGGAGGCTTGCATGCAACATGCCATTCCCTGCAATCGCCAGAAGAGTCGAAGACACATCGCATGAAACCAGTTGTGTTTCTGTTAAACTGTACTGCTTCAAGGAGCAAGGAAATGTGAACATGACAGCCAAAAAAGGAATGAAGGCAGAACATACACGCACCCGAAACCACAAAACAGGAAATCCTACAACCAAATGTCGCAGGAAAGTGGCGCAGCCGGACTTGGGCCACGACTGTTTCCCCGACTGCTTCCAGCTGCTGGTCCTTTTCACGCAGAGCCTGCAACGCAGCGACAACTATCCCAAAGCAAATTTAAATGTGATGGCCACCTGGGTAGAACGACCATCCTCTCTGCTGCTGGACAGAGAAACGGTGAATAACGGACTCGGGTCTCAGTTCAACCAAACTGGTGGGAAAGGTGCAACAATGCACATCTCCACAAAGTTAAGAACATGCATTGGCTACTGCAAATGCTCCTAGACTACCCTCGCTGTGGAAATGGAGTTGACAGTTGACCCTCTAGAGAAAAAACTTGACCTTCAAAAGCAAATCAATTCGCAGCTTGAACGTGACTGGCTGTCAACACCTGCTTTAGCTCTTCCATCTCTCGATGGGCCTGCCCCACCAACTCAGAAAGTAAATTGACAAATGACCAAGGAGGCTTGCATGCAACATGACATGCCCTGCAATCGCCAGAAGAATCGAAGACACATCGCATGAAACCAGTTGTGTTTCTGTCAAACTGTACTGCTTCAAGGAGCAAGGAAAAGTGAACATGACAGCCAGGAAAGGAATGAAGGCAGAACATACACGCACCCGGAACCACAAAAACGGAAGTCTTACAACCAAATGACGCAGGAAAGTGGCGCAGCCGGACTTGGGCCACGACAGCTTCCCCGACTGCTTCCAGCTGCTGGTCCTTTTCACGCAGGGCCTGCAACGCAGCGACAACTATCCCAAAGCAAATCCCTCTGATGGCCACCTGGGTAGAACGACCATCCTCTCTGCTGCTGGACAGAGAAACGGTGAATAACGGACTCGGGTCTCAGTTCAACCAAACTGGTGGGAAAGGTGCAACAATGCACATCTCCACAAAGTTGAGAACATGCATTGGCTACTGCAAATGCTCCTAGACTACCCTCGCTGTGGAAATGGAGTTGACAGTTGACCCTCTAAAGAAGAAACTTGACCTTCAAAAGCAAATCAATTCGCAGCTTGAACGTGACTGGCTGTCAACACCTGCTTTAGCTCTTCCATCTCTCGATGGGCCTGCCCCACCAACTCAGAAAGTAAATTGACAAACGACCAAGGAGGCTTGCATGCAACATGACATGCACTGCAATCGCCAGAAGAGTCGAAGACACATCGCATGAAACCAGCTGTGTTTCTGTCAAACTGTACTGCTTCAAGGAGCAAGGAAATGTGAACATGACAGCCAAAAAAGGAATGAAGGCAGAACATACACGCACCCGAAACCACAAAACAGGAAATCCTACAACCAAATGACGCAGGAAAGTGGGGCGACCGGGCTTGGGCCACAACTGCTTCCACCTGCTGGTCCTTTTCATGCAGAGCCTCCAACGCGGCGACAACTAGCCCAAAGCAAATTTCTCTGATGGCCACCTGGGTAGAACAACCATCCTCTCTGCTGCTGGACAGAGAAGTTTTGAATAATGGACTCGGGTCCCAGTTCAACCAAACTGGTGGGAAAGGTGCAACAATGCACATCTCCACATGTTTGGTTGACGAAAGTCTTGGACACACCTTTCCCTCGCTCTGCTGACAGAACAACGGACTCAAGTCAACCAAATTCACTTGTGCGAAATGCGAAAGTGGCTGCCGGGTAGTAGCTGATGCTCTCAGGCTCATTTGGGACTTGAGTTGGCCCTCTGCAATGTGGTGCGCTACAACCATACTTGAACTTCGAAGGCAACTAAATGGCAGCACAGCTGCAACCTGACACAACGCGACTGGCTTTGCCTGGCCCTTTGTCCTGAGCTCCTCCGTCGCTTGAGCAGCCTGCCACGCTAGCTTGGAAAGCACAGTCACATTTCAATCAAGAAACACGCGCTGCAACAACCAGAAATGCCGAAGGCACATTCCCTAGGATAAACCAGGTTATGTTTGTTGTTGTGCAGCTTTGCTGCTTCAGGGAGCAAGGACAATGCGACAATCAAAGACGGAAAATATCGAAACATTAACCAAACTGCAGAATACACGTGCCCGATACCAAAAACAAAGGAACACCGTCCTGCAACCAAACAAAGGAAAGTGGCGCAGCCGGACTTGGGCCACGACTCCTTCCCCGACTGCTTTCAGCTGCTGGTCCTTTTCGTGCAGGGCCTGCAACGCAGCGACAACTAGCCCAAAGCAAATTTAAATGTGATGGCCACCTGGGTAGAACATCCTCTCTGCTGCTGGACAGAGAAACAGTGAATAACGGACTCGGGTCTCAGTTCAACCAAACTAGGTTCACTTTGTGACCCTCTGCAAACGAGAATGCGAAACATTTACGATGCGGTCTGCTACAACCAAATTTGTACTGAGAAAGCAATTGAATACCAGCAGAGCTGCAACGTGACATAACGTGACTGCCTTGGCGTCGCTCTCTTCTCTGGCTGCCAGCATCTGCTTTAGATCGTCAATCTCTTGGCGAGCCTGCTTAGATAGTGGACAAATGACCAAGAAGGCTTGCATATCATTGCAATGACCAGAAAGATCGAAGACATATCGCACATGACAAAAACAACATATAAATACAAGATCCCCGTGGGAACTACGGGTAGGTGTTGGGCCTGGCATTTTATAGTCATAACCCACCCTTGGTGACCACAGTGCACCACTATAAAATGACTTCATAGGACAAGCCTGCCCCACAGAAAATACTATAAAATCTGGGGCTCAGGGTGGGCCATCTAAGTGTACTTTTAAAGGGGGGTCACAAAATGAAGGTCCTATAAAATGAAAAACATGACCTGGCAGTAGATTTTTGTATGATTTTTCTTCTCCAAATTAGTGTCTGGGGATTACATTCTATAGGGGGGTTAGATTTTATAGCAGGAGTGGGTTCTGCACTCTTGTATTCGCAACCAATCACAAGTGCCAGACTGTCACAGAAAGAACTCAAAAGATGTCAAAAGAATTCAAAAGATCAGAAAAGATTCACGCACAGAAAAGAAAAGCAGGCCAGGAAAGAAAAGCAGGCCCATCAAATGAATCCAATCTCTAGAATCATCCAAAAAAAGGAGGCGCTGCAAGCCAGAGACTTTTTCCACACACAGACTGATTCCCCTCAGTCCGTTCCGCGCCGCCAATCATCTCAAGATGATTGAAAACAGGATTGGGACTCAAAATGAGTCAGTTATGGCCTCCTTTCTTCAGCTATGGCCTCCTTTCTTCAGCTCCACCGCGGCACGGTATTCACAGATGTCCTTGAGGAGGGTCATGAACAGCTTTCGATCATGGGCAACCAAGCTGGTCCTGGATGCTTCCAGGCACTCAAACACTGCTTTGCTCCAAGCATCACGACGAAGCTTGTACCTGAGCAAAGGACCAAAGGCAAAGGAAATCCAAAGAAATTCAAAAATCAAAATAGAAGAAACAAACCCAAATAATCCATAGTAATCCCAAGTACCGCTTTTTGAAGTATTCAGAGGCCACAGCCATGATATCCGCAAGCGAAGTTCCCTGGCACACGGTCGCCTTCACTCGGCAAGCATCCGTTGCAGGATCAAACAAAGGGTTGGACTGAAAGATGTTGGCGTCCAAATCCTTTAGTTTCTTGAGTTCCTGCTTGATCAAACGATCGCCCCACTGACTCTTGGTCAAATTCTCTGCAGAGAAGGGGATTTCTTCCATTTTCTTGAGCAAGCGGCTCCTTCTGATGGTCCGAAGGATCTTGTGCTCGGAGTCTGTTGGCTTCTCTGTCTTCTTTTTGTCTTTTTTGATTTTCTTATCTTTCTTCACTTTCTTGCGCGCTGATCCTGCTTCCCCTGATGCCTGCACTATTGCAGCACCAGCACTTGCACCTGTTGCATCACCTTCTGGCTGAGGTTCTGCCGGTTCTGCAACCTTTTTCTTTCTTCTTTGCACTCGGGGAAGGAATAACTCAGCAAGTTGTCCACCATCTGGGAGTTGTGGCCACCAATCTGGAATGTGGGGAAGGTCCCGCGCCAAGTCCACGGATTGGTGAGCAAGCTTCAGAATCAATCTGTCAGGGAATGTCTCTTCCTCCTCAAACTCAAGGATGGCAACCAAGGCCTCTGGTCTCACAATCCATGACTCTGCTTTCGGCGTACATTGCCACCAGCTAATGCCCTCAGCTTCTTTGGGTACAAGTTGGCAAACACGGGCTGCAACAACCTGCCCAATCGACATGGGCTGCATCGACAACTTGGGCTTTTTGTGGCCCCGCCACACACACATCACAATCCCAATGACAGCAGTCCGCACGAATCCAACTCGGGTCTTCTTGGGCACAACTGCTATGACAAGGTTGCCCGACCTAAGAAAACACAAAATGACTAGAAACCCTTCGATCATTGTCAACTCGTTATAATAATTTCTAGTAAAAGTTCCAAAAAACAGAGCTCAATAAAGTGCACAAGGAAAAAACCCAACAAAAATAACACCAACAAACGCTACATCAAATCCATGGGGCGTCAAGGAATCTGGAATCTCCACAGATGGCAAATCCTCAGGCACTGCTGCCTTTGCTACCTCTCTCCATTTCGCGAGCCTTGCGGTTCGTTGCTTGAACTCTGCGTCTCCCTCTTCCTCGCTGATCTCTCGTAGCACCCGTTCATTCCACCTCAATTGACAAAATCTGCAGGAAACAAAAACAAAGATTACCAAAGGAAGCCACAAATATCAGGAAAACACAGCAAAACATTAACATTAACAAATGTTTTCCCTTCAAGGACCACTATAAAATCAATACCATGCCTATTCCACAATACAACATATCTAAAAGATGAAAGCCCAACCAGTTGCCTCTCATTTTTGAGATTGCATGTGTTTATTATATCTTATAATTCAAAATAATATCAAATAATTCTCTACTATAAGATGTGATACTGCACTTTCCTCAAGATATTATGTTGCTATAGAATGCAAACCTAAAGTTCTACCAAAAAGTCAATTTTCCTATAAAATGAGTCTGTGGCCTCCTATCATCACGACAAAATCACAGAGATTGATCATATCTTGCAAGCTGCTGGTGCCATGAAAGACCCGCTGATGCTACCCTGGCATTCCTTGCGCTACGCACCCATAGGCGATCACCGCCACCCTGGTAGTGCCGGACGTACATAGTCAATCTCCACAGCCTATCAAACATGTTCACTCCACTCTTCTCTCTACTTTCGGGGTCTGCAAAAATGGCTTGATGTAGAGTCTTGGGCATGGAGACATCCATGTCAGTACCCTCAAAGCAAATTCCGAAAGGCTTCATTGGACTTGAGGGTGGGTCAGCTTGCAAAAGGTTCTTCAGATCTGCAGCATCAGGACATTGTCGGAGATCCATGGTCACAGCATCAGGCACAGAAGTATTCGCTTCATCTTCAACATCCATTGTGGCCTCATTCTGGATGTCTGCAAGAACCTCCTCACAGTCATCTTCCTCCCTCCAGTCCTCCCATTCCTCCTCTTCAGCTTCATGCCCCTGTAGCTCGTCCATGTTGGCAACTCCAGACTCACACCACTCGCGATACATGCGTTCCAGGGAGTCCACACACGTGTTGCTGCACCAAGCCACTAGCTCAAGTGCACTTTGCAACGCCCGCACAGAGCAGCAACGAAATGCATCATCAGAAATGGGCGAGCAATTTGACCGAACCGGAGTCTTGGAAGTCTCGTGCCGTCTTGATGTTCGGATCATGTGACGGGCACATGCTTTCCAGTATGCACGTGAAGAAAGCTGGGCCGAAGCCGATTGGATGCGTAATGCCCCAAAGTGCTGTTCCACTGGTAGCTCACTCATGCGGCCAAACCCAGACCTGTAGACATCTCCAATGTCATTGGTCACACCAACAAGAATCACGCTCAATGCAACCATTTGTAGATTCTCGCTTGTTTGGCTTGCCATCCACCTCGAGCCCTTTGGCAAGCCTCTCTGCTGGCATTGGTAGTCACTGATCATGCGAAACAGGTCGATCAGAAGGAAGCCCTCCATGGCCACCTGAGTCCGGACTTTGGCTTCCATGGTTTTGTGCAAGGCAGGTCCAGTGGACAAAGCGATGACGGTATTGAGCAAGAGGAAACCTCTAGGTTCCACATGACCACTGCTCTTGATACAGCAACATCCTGGCAGGGACAAGAAAATCAAAAAGTAAGAAACAGCTGTTGAGACCACCTGGACAAATCATGACAAGTCTATGTACAGTAACAAATCTGCGATATTTCCAAACATTTGGCGAGGCACTGGCGATTCCAAAACGTAATATGGATTCCAAAGAGTTGCATTTAATGCGTCACTCATTGGCTCTGCCCGAGTGTAGGCCATCAATGGGAGACCAAGGCCTCTGGCAGCAGAATGATCACACCAGAAATCACCCAGGTGAATGTCACGAATGGGCGAGCACAATTGTCCAGCACTGTTTTTTGTTGCATGACCTCAGGTTTCAGGATTGCTTAGTAATGTTATGTTTGATATGATTTGGAACCATCTACGCTATTCTTCTTTACTTTTCCAATTAGAACACATGAAAGGTTCAGGAAATTCACTATAAAATGCGAACGTGTCCTATCACAGTGGACATGTTTTCTATAAAATGGAACTCAGCGCTGAAGGGAGTTCTGGAATCCAACATTATATCACTATAAAATGTAAACATGTGGTCTCTACTCACCCATCGCTGCCCTATAAAATGAATCTCTTGACATATAGATAAGATTGGTCAAAGCATCCAGCCAAGATCATCAACAAATCTGTAAAATTGAAAATGATTGAAACAAAAAGCATACCAACTGAAAGACAGAGGAGGCACATGGGCCACACAATGGCCACACAGCTTTGCCCTTGTGATAGCACTTCTGGAGTGGCAACCGCGGCAGCACGTGTACAGGCAGATTGCTGTACTCCAAAGCCTCAAAGAAAGGAACCCCTGACAAATCTTCCTGCCGAAAGTCTTGTTGAACTGGCCAAACAGTGCCTGTCTGAAATAGACGTGGGACTGGTGAGCGTCGAAAGCGATTCCCTTGACCACAGTCTCAGCATTTTCCATTAGAATGCCCAGGACACGAAGCATTTCCTTGGTTGCTTACTATGAAGATCCATGAAAACCATTCAGCCCAATTGAACAGTTTTACACAATGATATGGATCAATGGACTGATACTATAAGATACAATATGATACAATAAGTATTGCAAAGAGTTGCGAAGCATGAAAAACATTGAAGAGCTGCTACTGGTACCAAGGCTGAGCTTCCAGATTTCCCTGCTTCGTCAGAGTCATTTGCTTCTGCTTGCTTCTCTCAAGGCTCATAGGCATTGATGCCAGACTGTATGCCTGGCGGTTGGCTGCAACTGGATCCCAGACTAAGCATTCCAGCATCAGGGATGCTTTCTTTTGCTTGAGACAACCTGGTGGGATATTGTCAAGTGGAATGAAGGCATCGTCTGGAGTATCTGGCTTCCAGGGTCTTCCAATCAGGCCAG